AGTATATTCATACAGTCGCACAGCATATCAGAAAGTGCAGTGTGAGGTATAGGTATACGGTGTATATATTATTGTCTTACTAAAATGGTTCAATGTTTTTAGATATTTTTAAGACAGTACTTACAAACACCCCCATTCTCCGAATTGGATGAAATTTTCGAAACAGGTTCTTTTTTGTCAAAAATGATGGTTGCGAGAAGGATTTTTGGCAACTGAAAAAAAATGTTTACCATTTGAGTATCGTTCTCTACCTTCCGACACGATTTAGTATAATGTTTGAACCTTTTAGAATAAATAAGCACCGTGCTTAGGACATACAAACTTTGGACAGCGTAGAAAGTCGTCTATTGTTTTGGGAAAGAGGCTGCCACCCCGTTACTCTGCGTTGGTAACAGAGGGAGTGATATCACTCCATTTCTCGAGCCGAAGAGCCCTACCTCCGTTAAATTGTCAATACCCAACGTTACCGATACCGTATGAATTGTGGGTATTATCACAGACGAGATATAGGAGTAGACATTTCATCCAATGTATGTACATTGTATGCCGATGGATGGTCACTGGTCTTTGACCTTCGGCAATCAACGCTCAGCGCATTTATTCGAGCTGGCTGGCTGGCCAAAGTTATTTGAAGATTTATTCAAACCCCAAATTTTATTTGTTATAATGAATAATAATTTTCCTTGAAAAATAGCTGATGGAATGTTTAACAACATACCCTGAAAATGTGATAGTTATAAATATTACAGTACCGAAAATATTTAATTTATTGTCGATCAAAGAATTCCTACTCTTCTACAAATTTTTATGAATTCCTTGCTTAAAACGCTACCAAGGCACATTTTCATTAAATAATATTTAGTTAACAATCGCCATAAACATTAAGACATAGTCATTGTTTACTAATTTACAATAAAGTAAAACTTATTACATGTAAAAGTTCATCACACGATCCATATCTTGAAAGTTTCTGTATATTTCGATTTATATTTGTTATAAACAATAACAATTTGCATTATAAGACAGCTGACAGAATGTTTAACAATATTCCTCAGGGAGGTAATTGTTATAACAATTACCTTATTAGAAATAATAAATTAATCGAGAAATAATTTTTGGCGCGCTCGAGTTTCCAGTGCACTCAATGTTCGCGCACCTGTCCGCGCACCAGTGCGCGCAAGCTCGCGGTCGCCGCAAGCCCATAAATACGAACGCGCAATGAAAAATCCTCAGTCCACTCGCGTCCGCGGACCTCGTCGAGGTCTTTCGATTGCTGACCACTGGTGGACACTGATCAAGGAGGGTTCAAGGGGTCCTCTCTATTATCCGAACTCGACGAGGTCTTCCCACGATTGCTGACCACTGGTGGACACTGGTCAAGGGGGGTTCAAGGGGTCCTCTCTATTATCCGAACTCGACTCAAAGGTTAGGTTTTTTTTTTTTTAGTGGCCAGGGGATTTTACAGGGCAACCTCTCTTATCCGAACTCGACGAATTGATTATATATTTTAATTATGTGATTTATTTTAATTAAATGGGTTTTTTTCATTTATTTTAATTATATGTATTTATTTTGATTTATTTTAATTAGGTGTGTTTTATTTTGATTTATTTTAATTATATGTGTTTTATTTTAATTTATTTTAATTAATTGTGTTTTATTTTAATTTGTTTTAATTACTTGAGTTTCATTTTGATTTATTTTAATTGATTGTGTTTAATATAATTTATTAAAATTAATTGCGTTTAATATAATTCATTTTAATTACTAATGCTTTATTTTAATTTATTTTAATTAATTGTGTTTTATTTTGATCTGTTTTAATTACTTGAGTTTCATTATGATTTGTTTTAATTAACTATGTTTTATTTTGATTTATTTTAATTCAGTAAACTCAAGAAAGAAGCCATCCTCCGTGGGATTTCGATATTTATAGTATAAGCGTATGTAGATATCTAAGTTGGTTGTAAGATTAATGTGAAAGGTGGATAGATGGAACTTGTGTTTCCATCTATCTTCCTTGGGTCTCCACTTGCAGCAACCTCCACGTGGTGAGACCTGGTAATCGGTGTTATCCTCGATAGTTTTGTAAATCGAGGATAATACCGAGCCAATGGCTGCAAACCCATTGTAAAATAATTGTAATGTATACCGAGTACTTATTATTTTTCTCGCGTAGTCCGCTATTTCCGGTCACTCTGCAATGTGCAGGTGATCGGCCGTGTTGTAGGCCCCGAAAATCGGATTCCCTAACTAGCTATCCTAATCATGGGTCCATGTCTCGCACCGCTAGGCGGTGTCTGTGCTTGCACGGCCGTCTAGCGGCATGCCTCCGTACCGGGGCCCTCTCTTTGTCATCCGTACGGAGTCTCCTCGGCTGCCTGGCAGCCGCCTGGAGGCAGTACGTTGGGAGAAATGGGGACCCGTACGGAGGAGCGCGAGATACGACCCCTCTGACAGGGGGTAGCTGGTGACGGGGCCGACCACTAGGGGCTTTACTCACGGTACGCGTCGATTCGAATCACACTTTGCCTCAGAGAGAATCGGTGCTCTCCTTCTGAGAGCATCGACTCTCTGAAACATATTCTCCTTCAGAGAATATGCACTCCTTTTGTCTGTAATAATTGCTCGGTATACAGCTAAATTTGTTAGTTGTAGGTTAAATTAAATCGATTGTAAGACTAGTATAAGTTGAAGAAAGAAGACATCGATCATCCGCCGTGGGATTTTCATTTTATTTTCAGGTAGACTCAAGAAAGAAGCCATCCGCCGAGGGATTTCGATATGTATAGTATAAGCGTATTTAGATATCTAAGTTAGTTATAAGATTATTGTGAAAGGAGGATAGATGGAACTTGTGTTTCCATCTATCTTCCTTGGGTCTCCACTTGCAGCAACCTCCACGTGGTGAGACCTGGTAATCGGTGTTATCCTCGATAGTTTTGTAAATCGAGGATAATACCGAGCCAATGGCTGCAAACCCATTGTAAAATAATTGTAATGCATACCGAGTAGTTATTACTTTAACTGTCGTTGTTCTCCACTTAGCATCAGAGAGAATCGGTGCTCTCCTTCCGAGAGCATCGACTCTCTGAAACATACTCTCCTTCTGAGAGTATGCCACTCTTTTATTTCTAATAATTGCTGGGTATACAGATAAACGGAGTGATCAATGGAACTTTGGTTCCATTTATCTCTCTTCCATTTATCTTAGTTTATTTAGTTAAGGTAAGTCGATTGTAAAACTAGTACAAGTTCAAGAAAGAAGACATCGATCATCCGCCGTGGGATCTTCATTTTATTTTCAGGTAGACTCAAGAAAGAACACATCCGTCGTGGGAAATCAACATTAAAGCGTCTAAATTTAAATTAGTTTTAAGTTCATTGTGAATCTTTGTAAAAAGGACGGTAGATGAAACTAATGATTCCATCGATGGGATTGGGTTCCATCTAGCTTTCTTTGGGTCTCTACTCGCAGCAACCTCCTCGTGGTGAGACCTGGGCAATAGGTATTATCTTCAGTAAAGTATTGTAAACTGAAGATAATACCGAGCTAATGGCTGCGAACTTAAAATTAATTTCTCTAGTTGTAACAATGAACGTAAGATCGAACATTTTTTGTGAATGTTCTATCTTACAAGAACCTTAAAATATTTTAAGGCTAAATATACGACAAAAAATTTTTGTTAATTATTAGAATACGTGAAACTGAATAATAAGGTGCAAGAAATCACATATATATTCGACTATTTTAATAAATTCATTTCCTTCCTCCATTTCGTACAATTGAAATAAAGGTGTATGAAACTGAAGATTACTTTTCTTCTTTAATTTCTGTTACTCTAGATCAGTAAGGCCGTTTCTGGGTTGTTGGCCGCCCTGGTGTTGGCCCCAATATTCTTTGGCAAAGAATTCTATATGCTATGTTTACGTCTATAACTAGAACATGTATATACATTGTTTTAAACTGTTATCGTGCAAAAAACATTTTTTAATTTTTATTTTCAAGAAGTAAGACGAACATCCTGTAACTGTATGTAGCTACGTCAAACAAGTGAACGGACGATCTGCAGAGAAAGCGCGTGTGTAATTGGAGTTTGTTAATTGATCAGTTCCAGCGAATTTGGGTCTCCTACAGCCCCGAAAGGATCAATAATCGGGCTTGTACTGTACAGTTGGAATTCTACTACAACTACAAAAACGATTTATGGTGTCATCTACGGCACAGAATTCAAGCTTCGAGCCAATCGATATAAATTTCTTGATCCTAGATCGCGCCACCAGTTTTGTCCATAAATGGTATGGCTGTGCCATCTTGTGACAAGAAAGCAGTACTAATTAGCTAGAAGTTTCAACAATTTCCCGTGGATGGCATTACTATACTACTTAACTATCAAAGTGGTGTCATCTGAAATCAAGTAAACGATACTGACTGATTAAAAGCTTAAATGGTGTACCGTAGATGGTATCGTGCGTAGTTTCTCTATTTGTCACTATTAATAAGAACAAACTTAACAAGACTAGACTTCCAAAGACAACAATATTAATTAAAACTTCATAACCAACGTCAGTCAATGCACAGTATCGATTTCAGGAGAATTCATTAAACAATCTGTCGTATATATTTCGCGTTACACAGTCAATCGCGGTAAAAATTTATTATAGACCACTAACAATCACAGAATAAGTGAAAGCTCTCATTATAACTGATGATTTTCCAAGGGATCAAAGTGTGATAAGCAAGAATTAAATTTTCGGTGTATCATAAAGATATCCATTCGATATGAACTAGGATTGTCGTATGAATATTCTTTATTTCATGCCAGAAACATTAGCAAATCCGATTTCGTAGATCGGTCGGGTAAACGAGAAACGCAAGCGAGCCGCCACTCTATGTTCTATGTGCTATGGGTGTCGGTCGAACGATCGAAAAGCTTGGTCAGTTGTAGCGCCGACTCGGCTCGAAGTTGTGTAGTTTAAAGGCACGTCACTGTACAAAATAGAAGCACGTTTTTTTCCGTAATTTACGTAGCGTAGAGGCGGTAACAGTTACGTAGAAACGTCGGGACGAAACCGTACGACAATGTCGCGGCAGCCAGCACACTGGGGAAAAATCGTATTCGTATATATTTTCCAATTATTTTCATGTAAGTCGCACGCAATCGTAAACACCCACCCGGCCAGTTCATTTCCTCCGAGAGTGCTAATAATAACTGATTTTCTTTCTTCCAATTCGCGTTTCACATGTCACGGTTGTTTTTAGACAGTGAAAGTATTCCTTTACAAAGTGCACTCGATCTTGACAAGCTTATCGCCACGGTTTTATTTCCGTACACGAAAGTGTTCCGTTGAAAAAACTTTATACAGGATTTTGAATGAAAGCCATTGCAATGACTGCTGCTTCATTGATAACGCAAAGATGAAAAGGCCTTTCAATGAAATGTACAACGGTATACATTGAACGAAACATACGAAAGTAAAGTGAAAGTAAATGTATTTCAGTCTTTGAAAAGCAAAATTGTGGAAAATTAGTTCGAGGATCTTGTTAAGCATTCTTATTTTCGAATTATTGACCGTTGGGCGAGACTCGTGTGTAATTCGATATATTTACGTTCTTCGCGGGTTTAGAAACAGTTCATTGTGTATCTTCGTACATTTCGTATACTTCCTACCGATATTTATACATTAAAAATTATCTAAACGTATCGTACTATTACAAACCATGTCTGTTATAATTTGCACTGCATTTTTAAGTCTAACGAATTTGTATTTTTACCTATTCACAGTTTCAGGGAAAGTATTAACTTAAAGAACTATTATCTTGAAATCGAGGTAAGCAGGCATTGTTCTGTACACGAAAGAACTCATTGCAGCGGAATTATAAAACAGAAAAGTTTTAAATTAATTTCTATTGAATTGTTCGTATTTTGGACATTGTCCTTTTGTATTAATTTTGAAGATACTAGTTAAGGTAATGCATCACGTAAAACGTGAGCAATTTTTTTATATGTATAATATATTTTAAAAAACTATGAAAACAGCCAATTGATGTATAAAACAGGGATCGATGATCCCTGGATTACTTGCTAAAGATCTAGATCACTCTATCACCGCGCGCCTTTGCAAATATGTTTCAAATTAGGACACACGCACACATAATAACTACAATTAAGAATTTTATTTTTACATTCTGTACACGACTTTATAATTACCAAGAATACCACACAACATAATTGTCTCTACGTATTATACACTTTTTCTTTGTCAATTTATGTTTTAATAAACCACGTTTTTTCTACTCTCCCATTTCCCAACATATTTTATTTCTCACAGATATCCAACATGTCCTGAATCAACAATATCATTTTGACATTTAACCACTTACCGTTTCTTTTCGTTCTCATTTAAATCGTATATGTCACTCCAATAACTTCAAATGAAAACCCGATAAGGACAGGAAGCCCCTAACCTTTATCAATCTACATCTCTATAAACCGTATATTTCTCGATCGAACTCTTCCTAAATTACAAGAATAACAAAATCACTTTATCATTCGATTTCTTTGCACTCATATATTCCTTTTTTTTCATGCAAACCGTATACGATATTCCAATGGATTTCGATTCAGAACCAATTCGGACCGGAAGCACCTAACCTTCATTCAATCTACATTTCTATAAACCGTATATTTCTGAATTCAACTCTTCCTACATTCCAACAAAAACAACAACAAAAATAAAACCAAATTACTTCGTTTTTCTTACTCCGTATTTTTTCTTTTTTTAATGCAAACCGTATACCCCAGTGATTGTAATGTAAAACCAATTCAGACTGTGTGTACAGAGAAGGTACACACAATTCACGTTGGGGCTACTTCTTGATTCTACAGTTTCGGTTCCACGATTTCGTTGTTCCTCCAACACCATGGTCTTTGGAAAACGTCTTGAAAAGACTTCCCTCCCTCCCCCCAACTGAACGGTCGTCTCTGCGCGCGTGTCGGTAACACGCGCTTTCATGTGATCGATACAGTAACACCTCCCAGCAACAGGGTACTGCCACAAGTAGTTACGGCCGAGCCGAAACCTCTCCATTCTTCCCGTTTACGGTTTCATTAGCCAGACCCCGACGGATTTTTGACGGCGCCCTTACGAAACGACTATCGTTGGACACACACACACACACACACACATACACACACACTCATGGGGTTTAACCGGACGCGCGCTCTCTCGCCTCGAATCGAATTAACACGGAGGCCTGACACGGAACCGTTGATCGTCCTAGACGACCTAGTTTCCAGCCCCAGGAATCCTCGATTTAATAGACGCTTCCACCCCACACCCCGTTCGACGCGTCCATGTTACACGCGTAAAAATTCTGAGCAGTTATAAACGATTTCAACGTTACATCGCTGGATCGCACGATTGTTCGATGTTATTGAACAATTTTTCTTTTTAGGTTCGGTTCTGTCTCCAGTGGCGGCCATATTTCTTTTTTAGGACCGACTATTCACGCGGAAATTGTGTATTGATTATATCTTGGGTGAAATTTTGTGGATTTCATAATGTGTACTTTGTTACATTGGGAATATCGATGAAAAATTTTCTTTTGGTAGATTTGGTAGTGGATAACCGTTATTTTCTGTCTTTTTTTAAGGCTGAGTATGAATATGAAGTTAAGGTTATATCACAGCCTTTAATGCAGGGCGTTTAAAAAATAGTTGAACAGATCGGGTACAGAAGCTTTTTGAAAATACGAGGGGAACTAGTGCCTGCAACAAGCACGAAAGTTTCGCTTAAAGTTGCGAGAAGTTTCAGCCCAGTAATTATAATACGGTAATAAATGCTTGGAACGCGGGAAACTTTAGCAAAAAGTTCGCTTCAACATGCGAATAATACAACCTACAAGACCATTCGGTTCTCGTCCATAAAATATTCAATGAATATACCAGCTATATTTGCCTTCGTTATAAAATTCTTCTTACTTCCAGGACGATATTATTATGCTTACATCTTTAATGCCTGACTACATATGAGACCTGACTACTTGCTCCTTTGTAATTTCCCCTGTTTATTATTAGAACTTTCATTTTTTTCCAAAGGGTACATTACATCTTCTTACATCTAGACATTAATCAATTTTGAACTGAACAAACGACGAAATCATTGATACACACCACTTAATCTTCTAGGATAACTGCATGTATGATTTTCCACTGCACAGCATGTGATTTAAGAAAAATTTAATTCGCATGATCTTTCTTAAATTATTACGAATTATTGTAGGACCGTACAATAAATTTAGTATATTTGTCATTATTAAAAATAAAGTGAATATACAATATAAATGATAAACAGGCAAAGATTAAGCGTCGAAAAAATGTTCCTGGATTAATTTTGTACTTTGTTGTTGACGTTTCCGACGCGAATCAATTGATGGCAAAGCAACTTATATTTAACTAAAATAATATAGATCCTCACGAACGTTGCAGGCCGACACGTAAATGTTGATCGTCCTAGGCGACCCAGTTTCCCTCCTAGAATTCGTCCAATTAATAGGCGCTAACGCACCAGTTCGCGTCGGTGTATACTCAATAATTACAGTGGAATTAGTCGAGCATTTAATCTCAATATGATAGCGCGGAATAATCATGGTCGTATATAATAATCGTGTATGATAAATCCCGCCGAACTGTGAATCGTACGGTTTTAAAGGAAAAATAGAAAAGAAAATTTCAGAAACATATTTAAAATGTACAGAGTGGTCGACGACTGGTGGTACAACCGGAAAGGAGGTAATTCTAGATAAAATAATAAATCAAATCTGTAGAATAAATTTTGTTCATTTGAGACACCGTTTTTGAGAAAATCGACTTTGAATGTCTGTTAGCTACGCGTGCAATTTAAAACTGCGTCTACACTTTATAACAAAGGAGTGTTATATGTATAACAAATTGCTATAGAACTATGCTATACAATATATTTTTATAACTTGTTACAATTACAGTTAATTTGCCCATTTCTATCGGAAATTTTTCAATTCTGAAATTTTGCCGTAATATTAACGGCGTTAGTGGTTGGTATAAATTACGTAAAAAAATGTTATCCCACCGACTGAACTCATAATGCAATAACAAACGTTCGAAACGCGACGGGATTATTCATCCCCCTCTGTTCTCATTTCACACGATGATCTACACGGATCGTATGAAACACGATATCTCTATTCTGATTTTTATTAAACTGACAGATACGGCACAATGAATGAAAAATAAATTGGATTTTGTATTCATTCTTGCTTTCGCATTGATTTCGCCGTATTTCATTCAAACGTTTCTGTTTTTCTCGTTTATTGCATCGGTTAATATGCTTGTCCGACCATTCACAAACCTCTTCTCCTTATTTGAGAAATCTCAAATTATTCTGTTCCTTCTTAAGAATCATCATCTGGGAATTATTGTACATATTAGAAACTTAAATAGTATATAATTTGTCAGATCTTAACAAAGGCCTCCTGTATCCATTTGAATACATTTTTCACAACCGGATACGTCGTTTGAAATGCACAAGCAATCGTTCAAGCTAAACTTATGTCGGCCTAATTAAGCTTCACATGATAATATAAACGTGAATGGGAATACTCTTGTGAAACATATCGAATTTTCATAACATTGAATTTCATAACATACACTTTCAAAGTTTCCATTTATATGTGTAATCAACTTTTTATTCTTCTTGTTCTATGTCATCTGTCTGGCAGGAGACGCCCCAATTCTACTTGCTGAATAAAAGAACCACTACAGATCAGTGTTCGTCTGACAATGCACCGATCTATTCTACTTACATGTCCCAGTTCTACACGCGTTCCAATTTTATTTTACCTGTTCGGATTGACGATGCAAATGTTTTATCTTAACACGTTATCGCTCTAATTCATCGAATTACTTTCGATATTTTCATGAATTTCATGGAATATGTGGAATGTATTTAACCCTTTAACGCCCAAACACCTCTTTCAGGAACATTTCAAACCTATTCTTCCCCCTCGATTAACTTCTTCTCGGGTTGTACCACCATTTTAAAAATACTCTGTAGATACAGGTAGAAAGTATGGTCATAAAATAAACCGTCCGTACTCATAAAGTGTCTTAATTAATTGAATCCGCAGACACGTTTGAATTAAAATGATCGTAAAAGATTCCCACCACGATGTGTATTATTCAACGACGTTAACGATCTCGTAGCGTCGACCGACCAAGCTTATCTCGAGCGTGCAATTAATTAACAATTTTACAAGCGACGAAGGTTCCGCGAAATGACAAAACTAACGTTCACGACCTGACAATGTGAATTTCGCGGCGGTGTTTCCAAAACGGGTCGTAGTGACGATTACTTTCGCTGTTTAATCGCCTTCGCGCGACACGACCGGACCACAGGTCAGAAATTAATTATTACCTTACGTTCCAACATCGTTTGATCGACTAACTAGTCGTCTCTTATGCTTCATACGTCATACATGTCGCTGTTATCATCCATTCCGGTTTTCACGATGAAATTTCAACTTTTTTCCTCTATCCCGATGGAGGCTTTACCGAAACAATTTTTGTTGTTGAATTCGTGGTTTTTCTATGGAACAGAATACACCGACCATTCGAGCGAAATTTACAATTTCACATCGAAAACGGGATATGTGAACAGACACCAATTTGGGAATTCGTAAAAATCTTCTCGATGCTCGGTGTATCAATGCGTCGTTGTGTTTTTTTTCTGTTTTGTTATTTACCAAGGTACACTATGCTTTTTGAGTCTTAATAGTGGATTCATACATATGGAGAAATATGCAATGGAAACGGTATAGTTCGTTGTATTGAGTTATTTGACAATCAAACATTTCTGTGGGCCGCCATGTTGTATGAGAAAGCGGCGGAGAGGTTTACTACTTCGCGGGAAATTTGAATAAGTAAGAAGTGCAGGGGCCGACCTCGGTGAACCGGCGAATAACGAAAAGAAAATTTCATCTCGGAATACTCGAAGCCTTGGAAAAAGTACCGCTGTTACCTCTAATATCGTGGATGGTGTCGTACTTTCGAAAACGTATAAACATAAAAAATACTAAATTGCGAGCATGTGGGAATAATCGTGGTGTTGGCATAAATTATCGAGCCAATAAATAATTATTGGGTAATTCCGAAAATTTTTATACGTTTGTAACTTGAATATTTAAATTTCTTCTGGAAAAAAGAAATATCGAACAAAAATCTAAATACATTTTCAGAGAGATCGAAGGACCTCTTTTAATACTAATGGAAAGTAAACAACGTGAGGTACCGTTGATGGACACAGATACAAACGAATCGATTCCTCTCGCAAAAATAAATCGAAATTAGAGAATTGGTTTTTGTTCGTTCCAAGCATGATTTTTGACATAAATAAACAGCTTCGGATATTTTTATATTTTTCGAAACCAAGACTTTGATTAAAGAGAAAAGGAACTTCATCTCACGGTTATCGATTTATTTTCCCGCCCGGAGGGAATCAGATCGCGTACTCGAATCGAATAAATAAACTATTAATTCTCTTCTGACCTCCAGAGGATTCTATCAAGACGATTTACATTTTTCAAATTTTACCGCTAAAGCATTCGATTGGTGCTTGACCTTATGAATTTTATTCATTTTTTCCTTTTATTGTTTCGCGAAGGTACACCATTTTGGAAATTCAGAACATGGCCCAATCGATTCCCGTAAATTTGAACAATCGAGAAATCGCGGAATCAAGTGAAATATTGACAAATCAAGTGATATATATATATATATATCGTTATCGCTGATTTCCAGATGCAACTTCCACGGTGCATGTGCAACTGATCGCGCCGTACTACGCGACGTACGGAAGCACCGTCGTTCTGCACTGCAACCACAGTGTCCCGGACGCTTTCTTGCATAAAGTGGAATTCATGAAAGACGACAAGAAGATACTGCAGTACATAAAGGATAGGAAACCGCCGTTCGTCGAATGGCGGGTGGATGGCGCGAATATGGAGGTGAGTCCCGTGCAATTAACGCACACAATCACTACCCACCCCCTCCGGCTTTAATTGTCTGCCTTTTCAAACGATCGTCGCTTTGGGCTCTGTCGCGCTTTACCCGAGCGCCTCATTTTCGGATAAATATGTTGTAACTGTCGCCGTAATACCGCACAATGGTCCAGAATTAAAATTTTACTGTATGTAAATTTAATGTATATTTTCGTCTCTCGAGCCAATGACTTGTTGGAACGTAGAATTTCTAGTTCGTCCACGATCCGTTGTACACGAAAAAGTTACTTAATTTATCGATCCATTCGTGTTCGTTGATCGTCGCGTGGTTGAATCACGTGCCGCTTGAATCACGTCCGTACATCATACTTTAAGCGAAAGTTTTTACGACGTGTCGAAATGTATAATACCCGTGGAGCTCGTTTCTGTTCGTGTACACACATTTCGCTATGCAGCCTACGCGTTTCTATATTACAGGACGCGCGATCACCTTTGTTTTTATTCTTTTCCAATAGTGTAAAGCACCGGAACGAGTGCGCGGTGTCATTTAAATCCGCTTTACTATCAATTTAAACGTCGGACCGATTGTTATTCGAGGTTATTTTTTTTATTAACGAGACGTTTTACAGGCCGTTTTACGTTATCTATAGTGTTTCTCGTTTCTACCGCGTGTTAACTTAATTTGTATATAATTTAATAGTGTAACTTTTGACTAGCAATCTATACTATTGAAATTTATAAATACTTTCGACGTTGATTTTCTTTTGTTTAAAATTTCATCACTCTGCATTTTCTGAACGATCAAAATGAAAATAACGTATTGCAATTTTTCCGTTTAATGTGTCTGACCATGTATCTCCATATTCCACTTAAGGGAGTACAGGTCTGATTAGACAAGCAAAATCAATGGCTTTTTCTGTGTTGAATTGCTTCGATACTAAATAATAAGGACCCAAAATGAATTTATTCAGTACACGAATGATATTCCGCTGTTTTTTTTATTTTTAGACCGGGCTGTATCGTATATACATATTTCTGTGGTATTCCACATATTCCAGGAGGTCACTTAAAACGTTGACTATATAAATTTGATGGTTATCTTTTCCCAAGCTCCTGATGTTTGTATAAATCTTTAAAAATGAAGCTATGATCATGGGCCGTCACTCCTGATTTCGAGCCGAATTGCAGAAATACAGCTCTAACCGAAATTAATATTTTAGAAAAGTTCGATAGCCGTTCGTGCGCTTCGAATTTAAACGATCCGGGCGAATTGCAGGCTGCCGCTTTGAAAGTTCAATCTGTTTGAGTAATACAAGGTGATTAAACTTTAATTTGCAGCCAGTTTCGCTTTTAACCGAAGAGGGGTTAGCGTTCGGCACCAGCGCGAGAAATGTTCGTTCGGAACGGTGAAATCTTTTCACGCGAAAACGCGATTTTGTCGAAAGATACACAACGGTCAATTTATAATCGTTCAATCTCCTAACCCATCGGATCGTTAAACAAATTTATTCCGCTCTTTCGATTATAATAAAATTTACAACTTCTCAGTTTATGGTCGTTCGTGTTATTAAAAGATTGAATACTATAACAGAGCGTTATCCCGGAAGATCGGTAGCTTTAAAATACAATAAATCCTCGATGAGCGTTCCAAACGGATAATATTTCTTGCAGCCGCATGTGGCCATTAGTTTATGAAATATTTAATGTGCCGAGGAGCCTTCAAACACTCAGAAAGAATTTACTGTACTAGCGTTAAGCATTTTAGATACCGTGCAATTTTTGCGTGGAAATCCGGGATTTATTAATATTATTTTTCTTAGAAACGATTCATTTTACTATTGTGCTTGTCTAGAAAGTGATTATCCTTTGTCCCGTTTGATCACTTATTCATTTATTCCACTTGGCTGGCCATTTATCGACACTTCTACGCCTGTCTGGACGGACAATACCCTATTCTACTACCTAACAAGGCATTCGAGTACTCCACTCATCTAAATAATCGGTTTGCTTCACAGTTTGCCTCATATCTGACGAGTCATCGTCCTGTTCCACTTGATTTACAAAATGAATTTCTCCTGTTCCACTTTGCATAAATATCCGTACTGTTCTGTTGCACCTTTCTTTCCCAGTATATTGTTTCCAATCTACTTATCTGATCAGTCATTGTCACATTCTACTTGTTCGTGTGGTCAATAGCCACCATACTCTGTTCGTGTGACTAGCTACGAATTCTATTCCACTTATCCCGCCGTCTATTGTCCCGCTTCACTTATCTGTCGAGGTATCTGCCCATTTTACCTGTCTAACCAGTCACGCATTTGCTCTACTAGTTGCTCACTCTGCCTTCACAATTTTTTTACTTCGATAGCGGATTTTTTCACTTAGCGGATTTTTCTATAATTGTCTGGCCAGTAACATACATGTTCTACTGCTTTAGAGAATGCTTCTATCCCTATCAGTCATAAATTATTTAAAATTAACGAAACTTGCGTCCCCATTCGACTAGCCTGAAAAATCACCTATCTACACTCCTCGTCTGATGAATTCCCAACTAATTCTACTCGTCTGCCTAATCACCGACCCACTTTACTCATGTCTGACTTGTCACCCACTCATTCTATTGTACGCATCTGCCCAATACAAACAAACGCCCATTCTGCTCGACCGACTTATGTAAACCTTGCCCAAGTTGCCTGACTATGTCGTGTTTACTCTACTTCCTGGGGCTCCATGCGTGTGCTTTACACACCGCAATCGATCGAAATAAAGCGAATGGTGTTTCTGTTCTCTGGAAAATTCGCATAACCGAATATAACAGTATTCGAGTGTTTTCGTGTGTAACGTAAATTCACCACCATGACGTAGAAGCAGAACGGGGAAAATAAAAGGAAATGACAACCAGGCTGGTGAATACGGATCGTGTATCCGACACGCGTTCCCGGCCGCGACGTAGGTTCCGTGCATCGCACGATTTACCTTGGGCGTTACTACAAGCTGCATTGTGCCCGAAACGTCACGAGTAACCCAGAAAAACTGACGCATACACTTTATCGTCCCGCTAAACGCGTTAGTTTCCGTTTACCCGTGTTCACTGCGACACACACATACGTCCAATGACTACAATACGGTCCCGTGAACGTTACGGTTCACGTCTGAACGAAACGAACGACCGCGAGGATGAAGAGCGAACAATTATTAAAATTACCTCGTTTGCACCTAATGAATACCAGTATTAATTTTATTTTAGATCAATTTCATTTCAATTTCTGTTCACCTTGATTAATAAATGGTGGCTAACGATGAGATGTAGACCCCTCGAGCGCTATTGTTATTAATACTTTTTGTAACTACTGTCTGGAGCATTGAAATTTAATTATCGTACGGATTGTTTTGAACATGAATTACGGCTACTTCCACTGTGTTCCATTTAACTCATCCACCTGAGAATGGATATTTTTATCAGCATTAATTCTAAAATATTCCTCTCCGTTTTTTTCCAATTTAAGTGAGATAATAAATTGAAGCTGTGGGATATATTTCAAGCGAACATTGCAGTCGTCTAAATAATATTATCGTCTATCATTTATGCAAAAGATACTTTCTCGACGTGTACATTCATTACTTACAATAATAAACAGTTTGACAGTCGTGATATAAATTGCCATTGTATTTTGATTATATTCATCACTTCGATTACTGCTTCCACCGCTATTCTGCGGTATATTCTGATCAGACGATCCATATGAATACTATAAACAACACATATAAAATATCCCTCTTTTTCCATTTCGACAAACTGAAGTCATTTAAATAATACACGTCAAAGGGCTTTTTCGATTTATCGAGTAACATTATTTTTGAAACATATTTTAAACATTCGTGCACTCTAAATTTAACTAAAATTCGTCTAATATAAAAATATCAAAAGAATCAATCTGCAATATCGTAAGATTTACGCGATCAACAACAATATTAAATCACAAAAAATGTACTCGCTATATATTATGTAACTATTATTATGCTATATATTATGTATCTTTACTTATTTTACTATGTTCTTGTTCAACGCACGAGAAACGGTCATCCATTTCCTCGACGTTATCCAGTCGTACTTCACGATACCATGGCATTAGCTTCATCTTCTACTCCTAGAAATTGCAATCTCGTATATTCAGCCAGCGCCAAGGTACCGTGAAGATATTGCAAACAGAATCCATTTTATATCATGATGTGCGTTAAACCGCGTCGTTATCTAATATCATATCGCGGAGTATGTACATACATGCTGCAGGTCACACATACGACAATTTAAAACATTTTTCCGCATCAAGATCGCATGCGCAACGATCTTCCGACATCTAAATCGAAGACACGACAAACTCGTTTGTAATATTTATAACAGTCACATTTTTAGCAGATATTAAATTCAATAAATATGCATCAACATAATTTTCAAATTTTTGAAGAAATGAAAAAATTTTAAAACCCCGTTAAAATCAAATTCGGACAGTTTGGTTCCCTTGTGAGAAAAACGGCGAATACCCCGTGGGTGGGTAATGTAAATGGCGGACCTTGTAAATTTTGAGTCAGAATTTCAGAGAATTCGGGTGAATTCTTTTTGCAACAATACCTTCGAGAAATCGTGATAACAGAGAAGTCGATTTTTTGAAAGGTCTAAAATATCCCTTAACTGTAAGGGATGATTGAGGAAACGACAAAGTCTCTCGATTCGCAAAAATAGAAATATCCATTCGATATATAGGATGTGTCACGAACCGCGTGGCCGGTTTTTATTATTAACGTTGCATGTATACCGGTGCACGTACTCAAACAACTTATTGGTCATGCCACGATATTGTTTGCCGTTATTATGCCCGGATATACGTTAGTGCTGTACGCAGTTTCAATTTCCTCGGATGCACTCGGTGGTCCCTCTCGTGTTTCAGCGGTCTGATCTAAAAACGGCGGGATATATCATCCGTAAATTGCGGAAGTTTATGCAAATTCACAATTTTCGCGATACTAATATATAAAAATTATGAATTCTGAATTCCACACCAGAAACCTTAACACGTTAATAATAACACATAAATGGTAGGAAATTATTGCAATTTTCCGTTTCAAGGAACGATATAAATGCAAAAACATCCGCCGTGTAATCATCGGTTATCCCTCTTCAACAGAAACAGTCGTACAGAGTTTAATTAAATTAATGATAACTTTCAGTGTGGGAGTCAAAGGTCACTTTAAGGTCATGCCATGATAATATCTATCAACGTCATTTACAAGTGCGTAAAGGAAAAAATATTGCTCTCATATGGAAAGAAATTCAGTGACCTTGAAAAATACGAGACAAAAATGACCTTGGGCAAAAAATATTCTTCACAGCATATTCGTCCTTCGATATCATTCAAATTGCAATATGAAACACGTTTTCAGTATTATCGCAATCGATGGAGATATTTAAACAGTATATCTACATTCAGACGAGACACCCAGTATTATTCTCCAAGCATATTAATAAGTACATATACAACATGTAACAAATGAATTATTAATACGTAATATTGGTACTACACAAATTAATTATTAATACGTAATATTGGTACTGCACAAATTAATTATTGATACATAATATTGATACTACACAAATTAATTATAAATACGTAGTTTCGAGGCGAACCGACAGGATAACACCGCACCGCCTAAAACCGACATTTACTTCATCCCAGTCCGCTGTATCCCACTAACCTAATAAATTGATTGATACACCCCGAACCTGGTCCTATCTAACCGATCAGTCGAAAGAGGATGCAACGCTTTAAACCCCCTTTTTCACCCCCCGACACCCATGGCCAACATTCCGTTGAAGGAGGAGGCAAACGGTTTTCCCTCCTTTTGGTCTGACGCCTACGCGGCGGTGATCTCATGTACCAGTCGTTTGATCCATTTTCGAGGGGATCGATACGTCCCATTCGAGGCATGCTTTCCACGCGAACGGCAATAATAAAGCTGTTGTTGTCGGAGTGGGCGGAACAATGGCGGAGGGGTCTGAAAGAGCGGGCACTGGGGGCATACAATCGAGCGTTGTTCAAGGGGTCTTAGGTAACAGCGCGTTAACACGATCGAACTCCTCGAAACGATGAACACACACACACACACACACACACACATAAAGAGACAATCTGTTTACAGTACTTGGAAAACGGCACGACAATCAAACTAAAGGACGTACGCTTCGAGACGTCCGGTTCGTATTCCTGTCAGGTCTCGATGACGACTCCTATTTATACCGAGGCTTCCGAACCCGTTCAAATGAAAGTTATAGGTAAGTAAAGTGGGACAGCCACGAGCGTTCTCCACGATATTGTATAATCGTTTTACGTAAAAGGTCGCTGCAAATGTTTTATTTACCCGGACCGTTCAATCTCGTAACCGAAGGATGGAACTTTTGCACTGGTTGTGTAGGTTAGAGTCGATTCGCGTTTGCGCTTGCGCTGTTGGGGCGATAGGGGACCTCTCTTAACTGAGCCACGACTTTCTATTGGTTACTTAACCCGAAAGATGGGCAAATTCGTTATCTAGATGCAGATAACGAATTAAAGATTCGATTTCTTCTTGAATGTGAGTGGCAAACAATTATTTAATCTTATTAAACTCTTCAGGGACAAATAGCCAAGATTCTTTTTCAACTGTATCTATTTAAAATATATTTATGAACATTAATGACAATCAATTGGTTATCCTATTTTTGTATTACGGAATTTCCGAGTAAGTGTTTATTCGCAACAATATTCATTGTGTCTTTGGAATCATGCTTGAATGAAAGATAAATTAAACGCACACATTCAGGGTGAGTCGATAAGAACTACTATCTGAAATAACTCGTTACCTATTGGTTGTATCAAAAAATGTGTTGATAAATTATGTAGCATTTTAAGGAACGCATCGGGTGTTTTGTGTTTTTCAGGGTCAATGCATTTTTCATTGTACAAATAAAAAAATGTTTTTAACTGGTATTCAAATGTGCTCATCGTATAGATTGTACAAAATCGCGAATAAAAAAGATTTACTTTTGTTTTAATCGATTCCCACGCGAAAGAGCCGAACAATAAAGCCCTCTCTATCTTCTTTCGTTAATCAATCAATTAATTATGCAATCGTTCCCGGCGTGCTGTGAAACAAAATCGTGATAAAACACGTCTTTGCAATTATAATACGGCATTCAGGCGTGAAAATGTCGTGTGATTGTGTGCCAGTATAAAGTATAAACTGCCGCGATTGCATAAATCAGTTAAGTACGTACACCTGGACACGCGAGATGAAGGAATTTTCAAACGAAATTCATGGGTGAAAAAAGTACGTTACCTACAGTAATCTTAAGACTGCTTATCACTTATTATAGAATATAATTATAATTACAGCGGTATGTAGAATTTCTATGGTTCCTAGTGCATCTGTTCATTTCTCGAAATAATAATCAGTAACAAAAAATATAATATTCGAAGGCACTAGAGGTTCGATTATTTAAATGAGATGTTGGGTGCATATCGCAAGTCTATCTTCTCGATTTACGAAATGTTACATCTAATACTGTTGTTCAAATTACGAACCCTGTAATCACTTTAATTAATTTATCCATCGTGTTGTTGCGCACGAAATGCCAGATTTCATACTGATACGGTCGTTCACAGTATCTCGAATGAAATTCATTAACTATAAATGCACTGGTTTTAGGTTGAATTAAATTACTTGTATTTTATCGTTCACGAGGTATCATTTGTTACGGCAATAAAAATTGATTTAAGATTATTTTAAATCAACGGTGGAAGCTTGAAATTAGGAAGTCAATTTATTAAATTTAAAATCAAGCTCGAGGAAATAATGTAAGAAATTTGTTCCACGTTCGAATACACATTTATCTGTGAAATTACACGGTTATTAGCATTCATTTGAGATGAACAATTTAATATAATATAATATGAAATTTTATTAAATGATCCATCCGTATTGTGCGCAACAACTCGGGTCTTTCTTCCTTCGATATTAAGAATGCTATATTCGTTCCGGCTTCGTACAATGAAAAAAGTCTTCTTGCCTTGGTTTTCAAAACGTACAATTTTATTCTAATCAAGTATTCTGAAATTGTACAGTACCACAGACTGAAAATCCGAAGATCACGTTCAAGAAAAGCATGTACGTGGTCGGCGAAAGTTTAGAGGCGAACTGCACCTCATCGGCCGCGCATCCAGTTCCTCACTTGACATGGTACATAAACGACAAGGAGGTAAATATGACCAACTATTTATCACTAACTCCAATTTATTAAATTCACTCTTTTGAATAAAAATTCGCTCTTCCACGGTATTATAAAATAGTAAGAATGAAAGATTATATAAATTCTATAATCACATTTAATATAGAAAGGATAAAGCTCATACCTTCTTGAACTTCAAGAACGCAGGAATTTATTAGAAATATGATTCTATTAAATTTAGATAGTTAAAGAAACTGTTAGATGTGGGACAGACCGAGCATCATATTAGAAACCTCACTGAAGAGTCTATTTTGACGGTATTCTAACGCCTCGTGTATCTGTTATTAGGTAGATATCACTTTGGTCAATCATTATCCGCATACGCGTCAGAAGGACCAACTGATGTCCGCTACTGCGAAATTAATGATAGAGGTATCCGCGTTGCATGCTGGGGAAAACGGATATTTGGAGATCAGCTGTTATTCCACCATCCCAGGGTACCCAATAAACGAGCAGTATGCTGACGTCAGAAAGGAAACGGTCTCGGGTAATTATACAACCTTGGTTTTTTCAAGAATTTCTTCACGACAAAGTACCTTTTACTCGATAAAAACAAATAATTTTTTTTCTTGTTAATATCAATAATAATCTTCACGGTCTCAAGAAATCATTTGAACCCACATTATCATTATATGACGCTCACGAATCAGTTTAAATCCTTGTTGTTCCAACGTAAACACATTGTAGGTACACTGATCCTCAAAGATCATCGATCTTAAGATGAATATTAACTTGTTTACAATATTTACAAATCGCCGGTAAGAAAAATAAAATCAACGATCGTGTTTACAACGGGCGAACCTGTGCGATCTAGAAATGCATCGACCAAAAAAATTATTATTACTACCGACTAAAAAATAAAAAATTAAAAAATCCTAATAAATGGAATACGTGGCTTCGAAACACATACGAGTTCGCTAATTAATTCCTTTTGGGAGCTTGCCGCGGCGCTGAAAAAGAAGTTTCGCAATTAGGAACGGGAATTCGCGCGCGATTCGTTCGCAAGCTAATCTCATATTCACGGATCTTCGTCAAAATATCGCACCCGAGTCGACACTGTACCACCGCGATGCAATTGTTCCCGATGAATTCGGAATTCCGAAGCTGCTAAACGTTTCCATAAAGGAAATCGATGTATCCTCTACACAGAGTTCGATTCGTTAATCAATTAACAATAACTTGTAGCTTGCACAGGTTCGTGCCAGAAAACAGTGTTGATAATTTTCGACCCACGGTATCGCGTACACTAGTGCTGTTCGCCTATTGCCGGTACGAACAAACACAAAATCAGCGGGGCAGTAAGCCACGCCCCTCCGGGCAACGGGGCGTGTCGTATATCAATGTTACAGTCAATTCCCGTCTTAACCCGTTCACTGCATCTTTTTGATATCTTATTCAAAAACCAAACGTCACTTTAAGACTATTTAAAACATCTAAAATATTTTTTTTTATACACAATGTGTGTGCTCACGATAAATAACGGCACTAGTAGTCACAGTTAACGCCGTTTTTCTAATGTCTGGATGTCATTTAAAGTACTTTCGTACTGCCGATCGGCAAAAAATGTTCCAGATATTATCACTAAAGTAATAAAGTAAACGTCCACTATAGTATACAAATGCGGTTAGCGGATTAAGAAGAACTATATTTCGCGCATATGAAATAAGAAGTAAAACAAAAAGAAAACAATATGTTCTCGGTTGTTCCAGTGCAAATTATACCCGCGCCGATCGTCGTGACCTCATCGCAGTCTATCGCGCGAGGGTGGCCCATGACTGCGTTACTGTGCATACTATGCGCGATGCACAAAATCATTCCTTAATAAAAGTCAATTGCATTAGGATAATTAACGAAAGAAATAAAGAAAACAAAAAGAAGGAACGAGAGAACAAAAATAAATTATGTAATATACGTAACGTGAAGAGACAAGCGGTGAAGAAGGAACAATTTCGTGGGATGATTGGGGGATGGGAAGGGGAGGGGGGGAAACGCGGCTTCTTCGTGCAAAACTATTTTCGATTGTCGCTTGTATCGATCGTTATCTATTTCGCGGAACGTAATCCCGGGGAGGACTCTCGGGGTTTTTCGGAGGGGGAGGACGGATCCGCGGACGGAACGCGGCCACGACGAAAAAAAAGCAAAAAAAAAAAGAAATAAAATAGAGGGAAGGGGTGGGCGAAAGAAGAAGACACACCGACGAACGAGAGAATTTTTAGCGAATTATTAGTGTTTCGTCGGTGAAACGGACGAAAATTTGTACATCTCTAATCTCCCCACTTGTTTTGTTTTTCTTCTTTGTTTTCCTGTTCGTAGAACTCCGAAGATATAGGTACACGGGCGCATTTTCCGATCGATCCTCCCGTCGACAGTGAAGATTGAATGAACGCGTTTCAAACGATGTTTGCTGATTTCATTGTCATTCAATCAAAAATTTTTCCCCCCCTTGTTCAGATCGTTTCACCACACACGTTCGAAGTTGTTCGGGTAGAATAATTCTGTTCTATTGTTTTCTTTTTTATAAGAATTTATCGTATCACTAGAAACAGATACGAAGTACATACAGTAAATCTTCGATTAATGCTCGAAACTCGGAACTGTTGTGGAACAGTTATCGTAGAGGGACACTGTAGTGAATCCTCGATGTGCGTTCGAAGGCTCCTCAGGACTTAGCATTAAATGTTAAATAAACTAATGGCCATATGCGCTAAACCTCGTCAAAATGTCAGCATTACACCTGGGGACCTCTTGTTGTTAGTACCGAAGAGCCTTTAAACACTCCTCGAGGATTTACTGTATTTCCAGTAGTGGGGATGAAGCAGAAACATTTAACGTAGAGATATTTCCGAGCACTTATCGACAATTTACTGTGCGTACACTGTTTCGTCTACACACAAGTCTCCCGCGAATGATTCTTGTCGCCTCGTGACTCCGCGTCGCTTATGGCTCGAGCGGCACGAATTTAATTGCGTTCACAAATACAGAATTATTGTATACCTAAAGATAGATTATATTTAATTGTCGCGATGTATTTGATGATTGTTGTAATGTGACTGGGGTTGCCACATATTGAAAAATGTGAAATAATTTTTTCTTTGCCGAATAAAAAGCAACAGGTTCTTTTTTTGTCTTTTTATTCGTCGGATAATGTTGATTTATCTTTCCCAACATTTCTAATCGACTTTATTCGACTTATTTGAACTAATTACTAATAAAATAAATGTTTACGCGAGAACTGGGAACGTAACTTTCTGTGCTTTGAAATGAAACATCATTATTTCACGTATCAATGATTCTAGACAATGAAGCTTGTGAACTAGAAATTGTAAAAATATTCTAGAGCTTCAATGTCGTACTTGATCGTTAGTGTTAGAACGTGTACAGCAGAAGTACACAAGTCTAGATCTTCCTTATCAATAGGTGGCGACCCTAAATGTGATCTCATGCGTTTGATAGATAGACTTACTCGTTAATCGGTATATTGCACTGATCAGGGGAGGCTACCAGCGTAAAGAACAAGTTTTTTCAAACGAATGGAAATGAAAAGTATTTAAAGGAAGTTACGAAATATTAAAAACTTATAACAAGTTTCTTATATTTCTTGTACTAAAATATTGCTGTATGAGAACTGAAAGGAAACTTTTCGACAAAGATACGATTTTATTGTTTCACTCTGAAATGAGTTCTTTCAATTTTATAAATTGAAACGAAGAAACTGACCTTATTTAACTTTGTTACGAAAGTTTGATACACTTTCAAATTTTAGATACAATTAGTATTTTAATAATTTTATCCATTAAACATTTCATGCGATGTACTTTTCGAAAAATTACTCATTTCACTCGTTTTATTTACAAATCTTAAGAATAAAATGATAAAATTGAACGAATTGTTGATCCTGAACAGACGGTCAAGCTTAAAAACAATCTACGTGGTCTTTTGAAATTTGACTTCCGCATTGTTTCGGATAAAGGTAAAAATAAAAATAACTGAATTGAAACTTTCCACATCGAATAACAAATCGAAGTCCAGTAACATCGATTAAAGTTATTCCCTACTCGTTCTCGAACATCTTCCGCGACCTCCCCGACAAATAAAAAAAAAATATAAAAGAAGCTATAAAAAATGTCAATTCGTAGATCGAACTACTTATTCACGATTAAGAAACGTGATTCCATTTAGAGGAACACAAAAATATGTATTCCGAAAAGCTGATTTCTAGATTTTATTTTCACGTACGGTTAACAATCATGATTTCATCATCGTACCCATTACATTCCCGTCGTCGACGACCCAAGATAAACATTGTGATCGATCATTTATCATTTTTTAGTACGTACCTACATGTGAAAATACAATCCAAACACGTCTCACTCGTGAACTTAAGTTAAAAGGTAAGAAACGATAATTCACGATACCTGTACACGCTACATATACATAATATCTCGCGAAATGAATATTAAATATTACGGAATACGTTTTAAGAGCTTGGTAACGTGTGCACGTGGAGTTTCCGTTGGAATTTTATCGGATATTTATACACGTATACGTATATATGTATTTATTAAACTAGCATAACGCGTAAATATAGTCCAAAAACCAGACAAATGATGTATCGACAAATCAGAAATTAAGACTGTTACACACACACACATACACACGTTGTTAGTTCGCGGAGCGATACCGATTCCTTGTTATATCGATACAGTTGTTAATTTATCTGTCTGTTGCTGTCGGGTTTCACTGTAATCCTTCATCCGTTATAACGACGTAAAAGCCTTCGGATATTTATGTCCTATCAATTCGTTGATAGCCAATTGTTACGTTTCCTCGGGGTCTTTTATCGAGGTAGAAAATGTGGACGTCTTGCGGACAATTACTTTGATCAATATCGTCCATTTATTATCGATATTATTACTGGTATTCTGATTTTATTTCTTAATCTAATGTCGTTTTTAACGGAACGATGTGACGTTCATACAATAAGTCTGTATTACTCAACATTTTTTTTGGGAGATAGGTATTCCGGAACAATTGACGAGAATAAAGTGTGAAAATTAATTGATATTCGATTTCCGTGACTTTTCGATAAAAATATTTACGATAAATCTTGAAAATTTTGCCCCATCCTGCGAATTATTTATACAGTTATCAATCTATACAGAGATAATGTTGCATAAATAGAAAATAAACAAAGAACGCCAGTATTAACATCGATTTTGATGAGCTATTATTATAATTTTTCAATATGTCCGGATCCGAATTAGAAAAATTTTAAGCAAATTTTAGACGATTACTGACACGAATTTCGCTTTTAAGTCCCTCATTACCAGACTGCGGATATTCATGCAAATTGACGTTTTTATAGACTATTTTACGATAGATATTAAAAAAGTTTATACACCACTTCCAGTAGAGATCTCATTAAACTAAACATAAAATGAAAATCTTTATTATACGTTATGAGCGTTACGGTTTTATTTTACAAAAGCTAAAAAGATTATTTTTCCGATCGATCTAACGATTTTATAAAATGGGATACATTACATCGAATAAAATATTGGCAACAGTTTGTAAAATACAGTTCGAAAAAAACATACGGCGCCAGCGAACTCGTTAACAAAACAGAATTTACAATAAAAGCAAACATTTTTCGTTTCCATTTGGCTTGTCCAAATACAATCCAAATCATCTGTTATCGTACAAAACATGGCGATCAGTAAAATCCGTCGCTTTTTATAATAAACTCGTAACATAATTTTCAATTCAAAATTCCCGCCATTTTCTATCTTACGAACGCTAAGAAATATCCAAGAACAGGAATAAATATCGCGTGCGATGACTTTCTACGACACTAAATATTAAATTCTCAGAACACAGTGGATTTTTTATTGGTAAATACGTTCAACGAATGCATGAAATCCACAGTCTGATCGCCCAATAATGTATCATCGGGAAACGTCTTGTGCGCCGAGAGAGAAGTGCTCGTCTAATGTATACTAGAAAATTTATTGCCCACGCGTAGATTGTCCGACGCTGTTCCCCTACCCACGCACACCTTCATCGATTCGCCGCAACATTGAGCGCTATTTTTCAACGATCGCAGGACAAAAGGCGAACGGAGCGAGTGATAATGAAAGAACAGAGGAAAAAGTTGCCAATGTATGTACTTACGTGCACGTTGCTCGCAAACCAGGCCAGAGGATAGGGCGAGGAGGGCTCATTTTGTTCCATCGCGTCGAAGGGCACAGAGAGACGTTTGTATCCGGAGTAGAAAAACAACAACACGTGTAATTATAGAATTTCCGTGTTTACGCACAGCGGTCCGCAAGTCGATCGATAATGTCGTGTACACACCAGAGGAGAGCACCGTTCCGGACAACCTATTAGTGATGGACGATACAGTATCGATAGTTTGAAAGGTTTGAAGGTTACAGTTTTGTATCAATATTTAATATGACGATATATTCCAGGATCGATACTTAACCCATAAATATCGAAATTTCGATACAATCGCTGGGCTTGTCGTAAGGTAACAGGTCGTAATGAAAATGGACCAATCGCAAGCTTCCCATAAAGTTTGCAATTGGTTAATGTTTCTCCACACTGTTACCTGAGAATCTGCCTTGAGTGAATATCTGCTTAAATGAGTGATTGGTTTTCATTTTTGGATTTTATTACTTCTAACGTAATTACAGTATCGATATTTTATTCCCGATGTATACTTAGGACCAAACTCGGCTTTCACTACGGGAAAAAATGACGTAGAAAGGGACCTCCTGCTATTCGATATTGAGAATTATTGTAATATATGTCAAATTAACATTCGATTTATCATTTATTTTAGTACTTGAAATCAATTTACCAAGTGGTAGGAGGCCCTTCTCTCACGTCACTTTTTCCCCTAGTGGAAGTCGAGTTTGCTCGTG